CTAGTTTTAGAAAAATGAAAGATAAAGATGCATTAGATGTTTAGGCATTTGATCATTGGTCTACTAACACAAAACAAGATGCTTGGTTCACTGCTTCTTCATTTGAAGCAGTATTCGAATTACTAAAACCAAAACCAAAGTGGATAGCTATAATTTCTGACAATAGTGCATACTATCATAATTTAGAGTTGATGACTATTATAGCATACTGGCATACATGGTATTCTATTAAGGTTAAAAGATGGCTGTTTTTGAAGCCAGAAAAAGCTAAGACAACCATTGATTCTCATCATGCAAATGTAATGTTGAATTTTTCATAAGTTAACTTTTTTAACACCTATATGCAGAGATGGTACTTCACAATGTCCAATTGGTATTAATTTTTTTTTTAAATATATGTCCAATTTTAATTGGACATATGTCTATAAAAATTAAAACCAATTGAACATTGTGATATGCTATCCCTGCCTATAAGATATTAACAATTTAATGCTTTGATAATATATTAGATCGGTCATAGCATTAAACAGTATGTTCAGGTTGGATTTCACTTAGTTGATGGTGAAGATATAGTTGAGGCGGCAAAAGAGTTGGCCAGAATATCACTGGTACAAATCACAATAAATTGTGATGATGAAAATAGTAGATCTGAAATTGAAGATGCTGATTCAAACAAAAAAAAAAATATAATCAAAGGAAAGTAAAAGTTAAAACTATGACTAGGATTTCAAAATTTTATTGCTAAAAATAGCCAGTAGAAGGTCCATTAGCTAGGTTTATTTGTGCCAAGGGATTGCCTTTTATAGAGCAGTGGAAAAACTTTTTACCAGTGGAAATAGCCAAATTATCTAATGTCCCAATTACTCGTCCAAAACTGATAGTTTCAGCACATACAATACTAGTATCTGATTAGACAATTCCAATTCCAAAGAAACAAGGTAAGTGATATTTGAGTTAGCTGCTAATAAAAAAAAAAAATAATAAATAAATAAATAAATAAAATTGATTGCTTGTAATGAACTTTAGTTTCTACGAGTAATAGTATAATCGAAGACATGGTAATAGAGAGTAAGTTGTAATTTATGAATTAGTTATAGTTACTAACTGATAACTTATATTGTTCATAAAACAGACATCATATATTTCTATGATGGAGATGATCATTATGAGATAGATATTGAAGGTAAGAACTATTTGCTCTGTACTTGTATCCTGAAAGTTTTGTCATAAGAAATGGTCATCTTTTGGTTTAAAAAATAGTTTGGCCAAAATGCAATTCAATGCGATAATAATTTGTTTACTTCATATTTATTTAGAAAATGGAGTTAGAAAGAATGAACAGAATGCTTTATTAATCAAAAATCAGCTAAAACAGAAAATTTCAATGTAATTGAAGTTGAAAGGAATGAACAATATGCATTTAGTTATTATTAAAAATTAGCTATAATTAGAAATAGAACTAAAAAGGGTAAACAGAAAGCATTCATTCATTTTTAAAAATCTGCAGAAATAGAAAATTTCAACGAAATTGGAATTGAAATAAATGAACAAGAAGTATTCATTTATGATCAAAAATCAGCTGAGATGGATAAATTTAGAGAAATGTTCGTAAAGCTATTGATATTTTATTTACTTAATTTTAACTAACGTGAGTCTCTTTAGAAATCTAAAAAATAAATTTCAGATGCCAAGAGATTGGGCACTTCCAAAAAATACAAGATTTGTCAAGAAAAGCAGTGGAAAAAAAATTAAAGCTAAGTTCGTTGTCTATCTGAAACAATTTTTTTTAAATGGTAACCTAAATCTCAAGGACAAGCTTACTGCCAAAAAAATGTATGAGGAATTGTTGAAGCTCGTGTATTCTGAAGAAATTGATAAGGACCATGTACCCAAAGTTACTCTATCCAAAACTGGATTGGACAATATTCAAGGGAATTTAACCAAAAAGGGACAGTCATTGTACATGAATCAATTGGCAAAGATTAGTAAATATAGCAGCATTCATACTTCATCTTTCCTTATATTAAAATTTCTTAGCTCAATATTATTTTATTTTAAAAATAGGATTGAAAAGAATGAACATAAGATGTTTATTTATTATCAAAATTTTACTTTCAATTGATTATTAATAAAATAAAATTGTATTGAATTTGCTGTTAAATAATCTAATAAAAGGACATGTAAATATAACATGAAATAAATATTCGATTTATAATGTAAATTTTAAAAAAGACAAGTAAATTGAATATTTTGAGATCCATTTACGAAATAAGGCTTATTTAAATTACGAATAGATACAATATATCAAATTCTCTAAAATATATATACTATGCCACTATATTAATGTATACTTAGCTGCTTTCCTAAATATAAGTCACTCTTAACCAATTTAGTTTTTTTTTTTTTTTTTTTTTTTTTTTTTTATTAATATAATGCCATAGTAAAAACTTTATTACAAAAAACCTAAATTAATCTAAAGACTAATAGT